ATATATATTTTTATTGGTTTCAGAAAGGAAGGGAGAGGGAGAAAAAGAGAGATAGAAACATCAATGATGAGAGAGAATCATTGATTGGCTGCCTCGTGCACCACCCCCCCCTTTGGGGATTGAGCCCACAAACCGGACATGTGCTCTTGACCGGAATCGAACCATGGACCCTTCAGTCCATAGGCCGACGCTCTATCCACTGAGACAAAACAGCCAGGTCTCTATTTATACTTTTGATGGAAATGGTTAAAATGCTATCTCTGGAATGGGACCAATTTGCACTTCATTGATAAGCATGTTTGAGAAACTTGAACCATGACTGATACTTATTTATCTCAAAAACAATAAACTATACTATTTAAAATATATATGTCGATTCTTGAAATGCATGCAGAAGAAGAATTGCATTTAAAAGCAGCAAAGTATCTTAGAGGCCCTCATTCAATTCCTTCTTTTAGCTATGAAGATGGAAGTGCAAATAGGAGAGCGATTTGCCTAAGATCACACAGCTAGTTAGGAACAGATCTGGGACATCTGACTTATAATTAGGTCTTAGGTCTTACAGTCCAGTGTTCTGTCCACACTAGAACAGAGATGATAACAAAAATATAACAAGTAAACATTGAAAAGTCTCCTCTGTCATTCCTGCCTGCGTCTTCAAGATGCCTTAATAACTCAGTGGTTCTCAACCTTCCTAATGCTGCGACCCTTTAATACAGTTCCTCATGTTGTGGTGATCCCCAACCATAAAATTATTTTCGTTGCTACTTCATAACTATAATTTTACTACTGTTATGAATCATAATGTAAATATCTGATATGCAGGATGTATTTTCAGGGGTTGCGACCCACAGGTTGAGAGCCACTGCTTAGATGGTACTGTGATACTGCTACTGTTGCTGGTGATAATTACTATTTCTTAAGCCTCTGCGTGCACCAGACATCAAATTAAACACTTATGTTTACATTATTATATTTACACCATGAGATCCACAAATGTATGTGAAAATGCTGTTGTGATTAACACTAAGATATAAATTAAAACAAAGCATCATTCAAGTGATAATAGCTGTTTGTCTCTAACTTGTTCTCAGTCAATGGACTTTGAAACTATTGGTGGGAAAGAGTGGTCTATAATATCTCTGGTATTAAAAATGGATCCTTATATTCATAAGGCTCACCAGCCACTTAACCATATTTAAGGTTTCGGTCAACTGCCCAGACATCACTGTGCACTCCATCTGTCCATCTGTCTCCATTACAAGGTCAAATATCAATGATGAAACATAGCACAGGAGTGACTCTGGCCATTACCTAAGCAGCTGAATTTTTCTGCAGATAAGAAAATCAAGGCAGGGACCAATACAATAATGCCTTCATCTGGGCCATTCGATGAGCTGGGCTTGGAGGTGGAATTAGAAGGCAGGACTCAGCCTGGGTGGTGTGGCTGTGGTTGGGTATCAACTTATGAACCAGGAGGTCACTGTTCAATTTCCAGTCAGGGCACATACCCGGGTTTCAGGCTTGATCCCCCGTGGGGGACATGTAGGAGGCAGTCGATCAATGATTCTTTCTCATCACTGATGTTTCTACCTTTCTCTCCTTCTCCTTTCCTCTCTGAAATTAATAAAATATATTTTTTTAAAAAAGAAGGCAGGACTCCTGGCTGAATTTTATGGCAGAAAATAAAGCAGCTCCTCAGTGTGGAAGAGTTGCTCACAAGTACTAGGAACAATTAAAATGATGAAGAAAATTTCCTTCTGAACCTCACACTGATTCACCTCCAGTTTTGTGGATCTGAGACATCATTGTGTTGGTTAACACTTACTTGATCCTGGATGTTGTAAATTTAACATAGAGCAGAAAATATAGAGATTATATTTTATGTTCAGGAAGCTCATTTATTGGCTATGTCTTCTCAGACTTTTAAATTAAATGGAGATCTAAAGAAATGAAAGGAGAGTTTTTCATAAATTTCCTTTCCGTTATGTGGACAATGGTGGCTAAGGAAAAAAAGCAAGGAAAGGGGTTATGATGTTACTATTTCCTGATCTTTTGAGATCTGTCTTTTCTCCCCATTCATGCCCCTAAGCCCTGTTTTACTTGGCTCAAGTAGACACATCTTTATGACACCAGATAAGAGGCATTTATCCTTAATCTCCTCCATCCAGAAATAAGGAAGCCAAGGTAATACACTGTTGTTCCTTATGTACTAAGTGTTTGATGTACAACGGCAATGGTTAAAGACTGAAAAACAAACAAACATAGCTTTCACCTATAACAATGCAATTAAGATGCCAAAATTTCTCTGGAACATTTTTCAAAGCTTAATTTGTGGAAATCTAATTCCAAGAAGTGCTCTGCAAAACATGGATTTTAGTAGTCAAGTTTATTTGAAGAACAGAGTAGTCTGTGTCCCCATGTGGAGACTGACAATGTGCTATAAGCTTACTAAATGCCCAGAGAGGCTCTGCCTAAGGGTGACTTAATTTCATCCAGTGATTTCAAATTCAATTGGCCTTTGCACCCATATCTTACTGAACCTCCTTTGGGAAATGCTGCTCTGTAGAATTATGATAGCTGGACACAAAGAGCAAGTAGTCACAAAAGGAAAAATAAAGTAAAGCTAAGTACAATCTTTCTTCTTCGTGTAGTATAGTGTTCATTTAAAAATAGAATCTAAAGTAAAATCTATATATATAAAGCCTAAGCAACCATTATGACGGAACAACTGGAACGACTGGAACGCCTGGTTGCTATGACGTGCACTGACCACCAGGGGACACATGCTCAATGCAGGAGCTACCCCCAGCCTGCAAGCCCTAATCGTCGATGGGGTCTGCCAGCCAACCTCCTGGTCCCTTTCCCCGGCCAGTAGGCCCCCGGGGTTGGGACAGGGAAACAGGGGTGGGTGGCAACAGATGTGACCCCCTTCCCCAGGGGGCTGAAGGCCGGCTCCCTCCTTGGGGCTGGCAGCCAACCTCCTGGGTTCTTCCTTCTGCACCTCTCCCCTACCACCCACCCTCTGCAGTGGCAGTTGGCCCCTCCCTCCTGACAGCAGGCCCCAATCACCCCATTGGGGACTGCTGGCCAACCTCCTGGTCCCTCCCCCCGCCAGCAGGTCCCAATCACCTGATCGGGGCCGGGCCCTGGGCTGGGATGGGGAACCAGGAGTGGGTGGTGGCAAACATGGGCAGCAAGGAAAGGAGGATGGGGGGAGGCAAGGAGGATGGGGGGAGGCGAGGAGGAAGGGAACCTGATTGGCCCTGATTGCTGAGCAGGCCTAAGGACCCCACTCGTGCACAAATTTCATGCACCGGGCCTCTAATATTCATATAAAAATGTACTATATATAGGACTTGTATTGTTTCTCTATGCAACTCTTGTTATTATTATTACAAAAAAAAATCACTGTGTGCTTTCTTTTGTTTCTTTGGTCTTTTTTGTTTGTGTTTATTTTTTCTGATAAATACAACCTAGTCTCTCTTTATCTTTTCCTTGTATTGTAGTGGTTCTCACTTTAAACCCAGGTTTGCCTGTGAAATAACATCTGCATGAACTCACTGGTGACGTTTCTGCCTATTCTAATCACAAGGTGTCACCTTTAATATTATCTGATTAGGATATAAATACTATTTCAGAGTTAAAGTTATAATCAACATTTTGTGGATTTTCCCAAACATCAAATGTTACTCTTGACATTTAGCATTCAATCAACAAAGATCCTTCCCTTTGTGATTTAGTTTCTACTATTTAAATTTCATGTGAAATTTAAAACTATTCCGCTTACTCATTTCTTGTAATGTGTTCTTATTCTCATTTTTTTGTAGTTTTTTTTTTGTTTGTTTTTTGTTTTTAAATTAAGCAGTGGTATGATTAGTCAAAGAAAATAATTTCATTTCATTTTACTACTCCAAAGCTAATAGACTGGATTTTTATTTTTATCAAAATTGACTAGGTGTTACAGCAATAAAATGGACTCATAATCCAGATTAACTGATAAGACTGGGAAGCAAGAGTTTTAAGGCATTTTCAAATAATTTAGATTAAATTTTGGGTGTGTTTTTTTTTTTAAATAATCTTTATGGACTAAATGTTAGGACAGTCCTTTTTCATTATGATTCTAATGTTATACGTTTATGTATGTGTAGATGTTAAAAGAATACCAAAATGGCTGTCTTTATATGCAAAAAAAGAAAAATCAGATTTCATGTTTTTAAATATAGATAGAGGTTGAAAAGTATAGATTGCTTCTTGAAAGTTTTAATACATGGTGTATCCATAGTAGGTTTACAGTTGGGCATATGCAAAACACAGAGTTTTTATATTATTATTTATTATTTTTTGTATTATTTCCCTTACAAACAACTGTAAACCTATGTTTTCCCTATCCTGTATAGTAAAAAAATAGAAAGTAGGTACTATTTTATCCCTAGGAAATCTCATGTATGTGAGAATTGGTAGGTTGCATTCTATAATTGGTAGGGATGTTTTCAAATTACTCCTTTTAGGGCTATTACTGATGATCATAAATTATCTTGGCATATTTTCCAAAACTTGCCTTTCTTTATTATGTACAGTGCCTGCATCTATTGTTTTATTTACAAGTAAAGTGATGTGTAGCATTGGTTCTTCCCAGGTCAATTCAAAATGCTCATTTTTCAGGCAATTATTTCTTAGTTTATTTCCCACCAAGGTTTTATCTTGTTCCATGGTGCCATTAATTCACAACTTATATTATAATGCGTCTCACTTGGATCTGACCAATAATGAAGGAATAATTTATTGGTAGGGGATTCCTTTTCACGATATCTTCCTGAGAAATTACCTACTTTAAGAGGTTGTGCTACCTAAAATCTTTTACATTTGCATCATCAGTATTTCCTAGCTTGCTTGTCTCCAGGCTCCAACACAAATACTTAAAATAAATAAAGCAACATTTAAGTGAAAAGTGAAAAATACCTTGCTTACCCTGTTTTGTCTTCCTTTTGCATTTGCAGATGTCATCCATACCGTAGGGCCAATAGCAAGAGGCCATATTAGTGGTTCCCACAAGGAAGACCTTGCAAATTGCTATAAATCATCTCTGAAGCTGGTGAAAGAAAATAACATCCGATCAGTTGTAAGTACTTTTGTGTTCCTGGTTTCTTATTCTTTTTCAGCCTTTATATTTTGGAAATCAGTCTTGTCCAAAATGAAGGAATAAAATCATTTCCAAAATTCTGAAAACTGAGTTTAAGAATCTTAGTGATGTCTTCTGTTGGTTATCATGGCTTCACTTTTCTGATGCCCTAAATATTTGCTAAATTGTTCATGATGTTTGGGGATTTAAAACATCATGAACAATTTAGAATTCCAGAACTGGAACCATCTCATCTATTTTCTCTCATTTTGCTATTATCTTTTGAAGAGTGCATGTGTGTTTTTACTTGACGGTTGTTATTCTTTTAGATTTATTTTTCTTTTCCTGAACTAATATTCTGTGGTTGGGTATGCCACATTCCTTCTAAGTTTTATCAATTTAGACAGAGAGAGTTCAGAAAATGTGGATCTAATCTATTTCTTTACCAGTAGGCTGAGATGAAAGGCAGTTTTCTCTAGTTGGATTTAGAGGTATTTATTCACCTGCTTTTCTTTTAAAGCATGTACTACGTTTATTACATGTCAATTACACCAGGAAAATAAAACTATGAGAAAAATGAAAGTGTAAACACACAAGAGTGAGTTAATGTGGGCCGAATCCCTTGAGTCTTTCCACAGAGAATTAGTCTTGAAATTGTGGGGCAGTTAAACAATTGACTTCTTAGAAGGTTGAATGGAATGGCATTGCCCTGGAGTTCACAAAAGTGGTGGTTTTATTATTTGCATGAAGAAGCATTGAGAGTCAGACACACTTAGATAACTTGATCATCACTGTATTTTTCATGCATGATTATCATTATAAAGTCACTTTTTCAATGTATGTCAGTGAGTTTGCTTAACATAAAAATACTTTTTACAAGGCAGTTATATAGCCTTTAAAATCTTTGCATAATTATTAATAGAGCTGGATATTTTCTTTCACTCTTTGATTTTTTTTTTTTTAAAATGTTCTTTGTAAGTGAGTCAATTAGACCATTCTGTCTTAGAGGAGAAAACTCAGGTTCAGAGACTGGAGCAAAGCAAACTACTAAACCAGTTGGCTAATTTTGTTCTCCATAGGAAAATAAAGAAAATCTAAACAGGTGTGCACATTCAGGGGGTAATTAAAATGTTCTCAATATGGCTTATTGATTTAAAAAGGCAAGGGGCTGAAGTGTTCACAAAATGGTTATGTATAGACATTTCACCTTGGAAAATATGGACCTTGAGACCTGAAGAGAATTTACTAGTGAATTCAATGACATCTCTAATCTATCCTATCTAATAATAGACAAACATGGTAATTGACCATACCTTCGCTACACTTCCCAGTGGCTAATCTGGGCGATATGCAAATTAACTGCCAACAAAGATGGCGGTTAATTTGCATACATAGGTGCAATGCTGGGAGGCGAAAGGGTAAGGATGGAAGAAACCACCTGTTGCTGACGGTGATCGGAAACCCAGGCAGCAGGCAAGAGCAGGGTGGCAGGGCAAAGGCGGCCTGGGGGAGAAGCCCTCGGCCCGTGATTGGAGAAGCAGGGCGGGGTAGGGAAGAGGCGGCTGCCGGCAGCTGCCTCCCCCTCTCCCCTCTGGCCGGTATTCGGAGAAGTACCTGTATTTTTTTTTTTTCAAAGTACCTGTATTTTTAATAATTTCTTGACATGGTAAAAGAATTTTACATTAAGATCCAAGGGTGGTGGGATGAGGAGAAGGAGCAGCAGAATAATCCAACAAACAAAAAGGGAAACAGAAATGCATGGTGGAATGGATTTGAAGGGTGGGTAGGGGCATTGCCCAACTAAAATGCAATTGGTTTGTTACTGAGTACTATTCATGGGAAGACAGCATCCTGACTCCTTCTCTATACAGCATATTGGGAGTAAAAAATGATGCATCCAGGTGGAAATATGATTAGGGGTTGGAAGACAGACAGGGAAAGAAGAAGTCAGAAATAAACACTGAGAGAGTCACTGGCTGGCTGGCTGTAAATACTGACTCTCTAGTAGTGATAGAATAAAAAAGTGGGGGATATCTCTGGAAGATTCAAGAGATAGGGGGCAACTCTTCTATGGTTTTGAGTTGCCCAGCAGATTTCCACATACACACGTGTACACGCCTATGTTTGCATGCGCACACATATACACATAACTGACTGCCCTCCCTAGAAGCACAGAAGAAGAAGAAGCCGCCAGAAGAAAAAGCCACCCGCCTTTGGTCCAGGCGCCAGCGCCTGCAGCTGGCTGCAGCCCAGGAGATGGACAAGCCACCCGCCCGAGGTCCCAGGCTGCAGCCACCTGGAGAAGCTGCCAGCCCTGTGGTCCAGGGCGCCAGCGCCTGTGGCCAGGGAAATAGGTTTCCTCTTCTCTTACTGCAGTCATTACTTCAATATTCCCCTTCTGAATTTCTCTCCTGTACTGCAACCCAACTCCACTTTTCATTGGAAGGATACGGAACAGAGAGAGCAGTGTTAAAAGCTTACATTTTTAAGCCAGTAAGGTTGGTACTTAAACATATAAATGGAAAACTAGAGTCCTTAAGGTAACGAAGGCTACAAAGGACAGGGACAGCGCATGACCTATTATATCCAGCAATCCATATGGGGACTGAAAACTTTGCAATGATGACAATTAGTGAAGATATGAATCAACTAAAATAGTTGACAGGGACAATTCTTCCATCTTTGAAAATATATATATCAAATCTGTTTAAATAGATTTTCATCTGCATAATATAACACATTCTGACAAGACCACCACCACCACCAATGTGGTCAGTGTTGTGCCCATAAGTGTTTAATAACTGAGGGACATCCCCCACCCCCGAGTGCACAAATTTTTGTGCACCAGGCTACTAGTATATATGTATAAGAGCCCAGCAACAGAATGGCAGAACAACCACAATGACCAGTCACTATGACGCACACTGATCACCAGGGGGCAGGCACTCAATGCAGGAGCTGCCCCCTGGTGGTGACTGTACTCCCACAGTGGGAGTGCCACTTGGCTGACTGACATGAGTGGCACTTCCGCAGCGGAACAGCTGCTCAGTGGGAGAGTTCACAGCCACTCAGCTTACCCGGATGAGTGGCACTCCCACAGTGGGCTGATCCCTGCAGGCCACACCCCCCACCAGTGCACGGATCCATGCACTGGGCCTCTAGTGTGTAAATAAATAAGAAGAGTCTAGTCTATTAGAAACAGTGTAAAAATAGTACCTATTCTTTTAATAGGAAAAAGAAACATTCCAAACTAAGATGATTGTAAAATAATCACATCTACTATTGCACTACTTGCTACCATTACTTAAGAAGATGGTGAATTATGAAGTTAAACTAACTTTTATCATGGTCTGCAGATGGACTTAGGCAATACTATAATCATTTTGGGATTTGTAGGTCTACCTTAACACCTTTGGTGATGATTTTGAGGCTATACATGTTACTGGGATAAAATTAGCAGGCGGTACTAAACTGAGGTTATTCCAATATTAATAAGTAAAAATGGAGATGGAAAATATCTGCAAAATGTGAAGTAAATGTTCAGCTAAATTCATCTCCATGTTATGGCATGATTGACTGGAGTTGCCATTGAATGTCTTGAATCTTATTCATAAAAGAAAAAAATCTTTCTTTCTTTCTTTCTTTCTTTCTTTCTTTCTTTCTTTCTTTCTTTCTTTCTTTCTTCCTTCCTTCCTTTCTTTCTTTCTTCCTTTCTTTCTTTCCCTTCCCTTTCTTCTACTCCATTCCTTCCTTCTTTTTTTCCTTGAAGGAGGAAACTGGCTTTCTACTTTACATGGAATGCTGTGTTGTTGAGCAACATTGCAAACATAATGCTAATGTCATCATGTCCTCCTTATTAGGGAATTACTAGAAAATTCTTAGAAATGTGATTGACTGAATAAGTGTTCTATAGTATAGGCTTGTACTCTGTAGAATGATAACACTAGATAGGGAGAGATGGTTGACATAAAAAGCCTGCTTGTGAAAATGGAAGAAAAACTTAACTTGAACTCATTTATATACATGTCAAATAAATTTCTCATGAACCCAGAGTAGCTTAGTGTTTGCTCTACCAATTATCACTGTGTAACCATGGACAAGTCACGTCAATATATTGTAGCCTTGGTTTCCACATACAAATAATCTGTAATTTATTTCTGTAATCTCAGAACTAACTCATGAACTATTATGGGGAGCAGTGGAGATAATGAATATAACTAAAAAATGTAACTCTCTATAAAAGTATTTGTCAATATCACTTCAAGTATAAGATAGTTTTCACATTTTTATGATTTGTCAAATTTAGGAGATTGATATCATTCTTCCTTTGAATCTGTTTTAAAACCAGACATCTAGACGTTAATCATATCATTCGTTGATGCTTTTAAACCAGAACTATGTTATTATAAAGCATTCAGTTAGTCTAGTTGAAAAGGAAAATTCAATATCTTCCTCCTCCAGTGTATAGAAAACCTTATTCTCCCCTACTTTGTCTTTCTTCCCTGTGAATTTCCTTTACTACGCACACAAAACACTTCACTTCTAGTCACCAAATGTGTGGAGGTTTTAACCCACACCAAGCAATTCTCTGCAACACCAGCTGGGATTCCTATAATTTAACTCAATTCTGACACTGTCTACCTGGAAATTGAGCCAGCTCTCAAAGGTTAGGGGCTCATTCCCACAAGAATGCACACATACACACACATACACACACACACACACATGTGCACGCTTCACCTGTGCCTCTGATCAAAGGGCTCTAGATGGGAAGTTTCTGCGACCCCTTTCTTAGGTTCAATGAATTTCCTAGAGTGGCTCACAGGACTCAGGGAAACACTTTTTACATTTGTCAGTTTATTAAAAGATATGATAAAGGAGGCAGATGAAGAGTTACGTGGAGTGAGGTGAGGTCTGAGAAGGTTCTGGGCACAGGGCCTTCTGTCCCCACTGCGTTGAGGTGTGTCACATTCCCAGTGTTGATGTTTGCCAACTTGGAA